GAGATATCGGAGTCATTTGCACTCTGGCTGAATCAGATCCTTCTATCTCTTCATCTTGCCCTACTCTTGTCTTTTTGTCTATCACGCTGTAATTACTGTCCTTCGCCTCTCTAATGGCCAATTCTGTTGACAAGGCCAAGAGGCAAATAATTTCATTAGGTGGACGGGCCAGCAGCAAAACTAGGCTGCCTGGCACCAGAGCCTTTGAAAGACTGAAGTTCATTTGAGATGATGAACGATCGTTCAATATCTGATGCTGGCTGGGTTGTTTCTGTGGTGTTTGTTGTTTATGAAGGGTTATCTCTTTTGAAACGATGATCTCAGGCTGTGGAATTGGCTCCTTTCGAACAGTTGGCCATTCAATCGGAGTCTGAGTATGGTCGTCGTTTGCCGACAACACAGGAGCCTGAGCTGCAATGGAAACCATCGTTGTGGCCTGGAGCAAAGGCTTAGACTCCAATAAAGGAGAGAATAATTGCTCAGATGATACAGATGACCAGCAGTCACCGCCGTCATAATGGCAGGCAAGATTGTTGCATTCGCTGTCGCAATAGCCATCTGCATAACGGATAGAGCAGTCAGACTCGAGAGGACAAGGCTGAATGAGGAAATAAAAATGCATATCGATGTTATGTAATGGCAGCCCAGAAAAGAGCTTGATAATGGTACCAAATATATTTTGTCTCTCGTTTTATTTAATAGTAGCGACTAGGTGAATCACATTTAATATAGGATATTTCGGAGGAAAATAAAATCATAGCCGTAAAATAAGTTAATATAAATGTAAAAAGTGTGATCTCGCCTAATCTTTACAAAGATTCGCTCTAACCACCTAAGGCAAAAGCCTGACTTTGTGTGATAATTCAAGTTCTTTCATATGGAAACTGCAGTAATGCTCTATGCACATCGTGATTAAAGACAATAGTATGATAATTATTAAATTTAACCCCAAATAATTAATTAAAAATTAATCTCTAGAATCAATATAGGAGATTTGGAGGCAAGTTTAAAATCAACTGTAAAAAAATAGCTGAATAATAAAGCAGGCAGAATAATAGTAAAGGATAAATTTTTTATGGATTTCATGGAGTTAATATATAAATTAGATCGTATGAACAAGATGAGCCAAAAGCAGTCTGTAACTTTAAAATGACTGTTCGTCTTGTGTAAGAAAATTTTTAAATCTTAATTCGGAGCTGCTATTACTCACAAGATTAAGCTAGAGGAATGGACCATAAGCAGGATCAAATGTGAGCTTGTTTCATTGCATACTTTGGTCATTTATAAAAAACCCTATCATCTAGGTATTGTGGAGGTAATTATCATTCATTAATGTAACTTGCCTCAAGACCCATCCCCTTCGCAGAATAGCGATCTATCTGTATCTGACTTCGATTAGACTTGTTTTCTTCCATTTTATCAGATTGTCTGCCTTGTAGATTGCTAAACGACTGGTTGGCAAAAGTCTGCAGAAGCACCTTCTCTCCAACATATGGAATTTTTGTCTCTGTTTCTGCTTCACAGTCCCAACCGTCAAATAGACACTCCTCAGCCAAGCACTCAGAGTCGCAGCGACCGTCTGCGAAACGCAGATGGCAGGCCACATTATATTGACTGATTGCAGAGCAGTTGTTCCAGGGGATGGCTGGCTCCCCTGGTAATTGTTGCACTAGTGAATCCGGCAATGAATCTGTATGCCG